GGGGTGTCTTTGTTGTTGTTGTTGTTGTTTTTTTTGGGGGGGGGGTTGTATCTTGTCGTTGCCTCAGAACTATCCTGTTCATAATGCCCTCTTTACTTAAGAACATTTTGGACAAAACAGTTCTGAGGGGACGATAGGTTGCTGTTGTTTGAGAATGTCAATGGTAGGTCCTACTTCTTTTTCATCCGTCTTTTGTTTGTGTCTAGACATCCTGCTTTTCTCTGCACAAAGCGATTATTATTGTATCCTTTTGTCTCTCTTTTTGTCAAATATGATTGTAACTTTTTTGTAGCAATATGGTGGGTGGTTGGAGGGCTACTCTGGCAGATACTATTTCTTTATTCTGCCTTTCTTTATTCTGCCTTTCTTTATTCTGCCTTTTTTCCCTGTCTGTCTGCCTTACTATCGCCCAGCACAAAATGCTTGTTTTTGTGTCCATGTGCTTTTCTTTATCTCAAATGAACAAATTGTTCTTGTCTCTCTGACAGTAACGACAGCAAAGGTTTGTCTCTGCCGAATGTGGATTTTCTACAGAAGAAAGTCCATACACTGGAAGATGAAAATCTCAACTTGAGACTTGAGGTAAATTGAGCAGAGATATTTTCTTTTTTTCTTTTTTTTTATGCTATTGACTCTCTTTATTTACTCCTTATTCACGGTTTTGTTTTCACTTTTTTTCAGTTTGCTGACATAAAGGACTAGTTTCTATTTATAAAAGATAGTCCTTAAGATTCTCAGCCTACAAATCTCAATTTATTTCTGCATCTTTTCACATTGGCTGGAGGACTTATTTTTGATAATTCAAAATTTAAAGAATATCTACTGTTAGTTTGTATGCTTATTATGCTTGCTTTGGTCGACTGTTGGAGAAATCATTTTCGACTTTGAGTTTCATTTCACGGTTGTTAATGTTTTATTTTCTTTGTCCTTCTGTTTATTGTAGAGTGCCCAGCTGAAAGCAGACACTGACAGTTATGAGGAGAAGGAGAAAAAACTGGTAGAAGACTGCATTCAGCAAATAGGTGAGTGAAGGCTTGTTCAGTGTGACCCTTTTGGTCCTGTCTTATGTAAATTGTCGCTGTTATTTTGTTCACTTGTTATTGGCAAATTTCCTGTGGGTGGTTGGCGGGTGCTCTGGTGTGGTTTGATTCTTCTTTCCAATCAAACATTTATCATCCTTATCTCCCCTCCTTTTTTAAAATGTTTGTTACTCTCTTGTAACACCTCTAATCTTCTGGCGCTCATATGACCTTATGCAGTTGCGAGCGCCGAAAAACCTCTACTAAACAAAAAAAATTTCCTGTACTGTTTGTTTATTCATATGTATTTATATGTGTTGGTTTGTGTGTGTGTGTGGGTGGGGGGGGGGGGGGGGGGGGGAGGCTTTTTTTCAGCGGCTATTAGTCATTTATGCAGGTGGGAATTTAAAGAGCAGCACAAGGAAAGTTCTAATTCTTCACTCTTTCACTTCAGTACAACTCCCGTTGTCTTTTATGGCAAAAATGAAGGAATAAACAGAGAGATGCACATCTGGTCTAATCGTAACTGTTGGTGGTCGGTGGGTGCTTGTGTGTGGTTTGCTCCTTTTTTCCTGTCAAACATCTATCGTCCTTATCTCTCCTCCTTTTTGTTTGTTTGTTACTCCCTTGTAACACCTCTAATCTGTGGCACTTCTGTGACCCAATTATGTTGCAAGTGCCGTAAAACGCTTACTAAGTGGGTGTTTGGCGGGTGGTCTGGTGTGGTTTGCTCCTTCGTTCCCATCAAACATCAGTCGTCCTTATCTCTCCTCCTTCTTTTTTGTGTATGTTACTCTCTTGTAACACCTATTCTTCGGCACTTATATATCCTTATTGTGTTGCAAGTGCCATAGAACTCCTACTGAAACTAAACTCTTACTAAAAACAAATAATGATACGTTTTGGTCTAATCACAGCTGAGCTGAACCAGCAGGTGGAGTCTCTCGCAGAGGAGCTTCATGCCAAGGCTGAGGAGAATGGCCACCAGAAGGAAGAAATCACCGGCTTCCTGTCACAGATCACCGACTTGCAGAAGAAAATGCGCAAGGTATGCATATAAAGATAATTATATAAATAATAATTACTTTATAGTAATAATTACTATAATGTGATAATTAATAATGATAAATGATGATGATGATAATAAAAGTAATATTAATAATAACAATGATAATATAAATAATAACTAATAAAAATAATGAAGAATAATATTAATAATAATAACAATAATAATAATTCATGTCTTTTTTATTGTATAGATCTGTGGTATGAGTGGAGGGCATCGGTGGTATGTCCTGGTTCTTTATCGTCCTTTTTATATTTCTGTCAGTTTGTCTTGCTTTTTTTCCAGTACTGTATGATCATCATAGAAAGGCAAAGTATTAACTTGTTATGACATTTTTCTATGGTCTTTGCTGCAAGATGTAGAATTCAGCACAAATTTTTAACTTATTATGTGTTCTTGGCAAAATGTGGCAGGCTGTTATTTTTATATTACTTGCTGTAAACTGTTCAGTGCCTCTCCGTTGTCTGTGGACCGTGTGTGGAATTTATTATAATTTTGTTTGTTTGTTTTTCTCCCTCCTAGCTGACCCTTGAGAACATGGACCTGCATGAAAAGCTGACAGCCTCCACCGAGTCCCAGCGCAGACTGACCAAAGAGGTACTGACCCCACAATATATGCCTGTGTGTTCTCTTAGTGCTGGCTATCTAGATCTAATTATTTAAAAAACAACTTATGCAGTTGTGAGCGCTGTAAAACCTCCTCTAAAACTAAAAAAATAAGATAAGAAGGATGAGAAGTGTTTCTAATTGTTGGGACATAATGATGTTTATTGTCACTCTTTGAGTGACGTAGTTGGTTGACAGGTTTGCTAATATAGTCTTCTCATTTTACTTTCTTAATTGTTTTGTAATTTTATTTGTTGCGCTGCCCATTTTGAATTATGGCTTTGCTTCACAACAACAGACTTTAAAAAAAAAGATTGTACTGGATAAAGAGAATCCACAATGTGACTTCTAAAATAGTTACTATGGACGTTTTTAAATGATAGGCATGTATCTGTATCCAGTCTAAAGAAAAGGAGGGCACCATGAGCTGAGTTAGTGTTCTGCTGCACTGTGATGCAAAAACCAATGGTTCTATCGTGTAGGCTTCACAGGACACCGAGAATGTTTCTGAGTGTTATGGGGTCAGCTGGGGTAATAATATAGTGAAAAGCACATAGAGCTTGCTGTTTAGCAGGGGTATGCGCTGTACAAACGCTATTTATTATTACTATTATTATTATTATTATTATTATTATAATTATTATAATTACTATTAAATTAGTGTATGTCCTGTCTTTTTGCTTTCCAGCTGGGCAGCATGCAGGACAAGTACGATGAGCTGTTTGAGATGCTGGAGGAGGCCCAGGATGAGCTGCGGGTTCTTCGAGGCCGCCACAAGATCCGCGCCTCGGGAAAACACCACCACTCGGCCTACGCCGTGCCCACAGACTCGCTGGCCTCGGAGCTGGAGACTTCTCTAAAGCAGGAGCTGTCACAGTCCAACAGGAGGTGTGTGTAATATGCGTTTTTGTGTGTGTATAGGGTGGAGGGTTTGAGGGTTTTTGTGTGAGCGTGAGAGAGAGAGAGAGAGAGAGAGAGAGAGAGAGAGAGAGAGAGAGAGAGAGAGAGAGAGAGAGAGAGAGAGAGAGAGAGAGAGAGAGAGAGAGGGGGAGAGAGGGAGGGAGGGAGAGAGAGAGAGATGGGTTTGTTTGTATGTGAGGACACACCAGCATTTATTGATGTTTACTAGCACGGAGTTTTTGAGATGTGAGTGAGCACTCCGCTGTTGTTTATTGGTAGGTGCTTTAGCATTATCTCCTCCATTTACTTCTTTTCAAGTGCTTCTGTTGTCTTTTTGTGTTTATTTGTTTTTTTATGTGGAAGCTGCATCTCATCTCAATGTTGAGCTTCAATAGATCGTTCACTTATAAGAAGAAAAAAAAAGAAAAGCCAGAACAGGCCAGAACCTTGAATTCACTTGAATTTTTATCTCCTTTTTCCCCCCCTCAGGGCTCAGAGCTGGAAAATCTTTGAGACAGCGAAGGCTGCTAAGCGTGCAGCAGCAAAAGCAGCAGAGAAGGAAGTGATGTCGTCAGTTCGTATGTCTGTGATGGCAGTGCCGAGCTCGACCCGAGGTGACAGTGACACGATGTCTCAGGGTCTGTCGGCCTACCCGTCTGATGTGGAGAGTTTTGCCAGTGACGGATACAGTGGGGATATGGACAGTCTCTATGGGTGAGTCGGGGTTGAGTGTGAGATTGTCGGTGTAGAGTTGAAGTGCCTAGTTTGATGCTGTGGCCATGGTCGATGGATAACTTTGGAGGGGTTGAGGATTGAGATATTTAGGGAGATAGACTGAAACATATAGTGATAGAGAAGGGGATAAAGAGACTGAGAGGGTTAGAGAGATGGAGAAGGCAAATTTTGTGTATGAGAAGGAAAAAAGAGAGAATAGTGTTCCATAATTAGTTTCTGGAAAAGTATGGCTGTTTTAGTACCAACTCCTGTACATTCAACTGAACTCACTGAATGCGAAGCTTCATGGTGAAATTAGGTGCTCGTCAAAAAAATGCATTCAAAGATACTGAGATTTTTTCACCTGCCTGACAAGTACTACCAAATTTTTGTTTTTTGTCAAAAGCAAGGCAAATAAACAAGCTTTAAAACTATACCAATAACTCGACATGCCCAAAAATTAACGAGCACATGATTCCACCACATCATGACACATATTATTCTCAGCTCATGCTAATGCGTTCTCGTTCCATCTTCTCCTTTATCAGGTCAAACCCAGAACTAGGTCGCCCAGGCATCCCAGGCTCCAATGATCTTGAGAGTGCCTTGAAGCGGCTGGCCATTCGACGAGCGAATGAACTCAACGAAAAGGACTTCCAAGAGGAGGAAGAAGAGAGGAGGAGACAACAGCAAGTAATGAACATGTGAGTTTAATTTTTTCCAGAATACGTGGCTGGTTATGACATGACTAGCGTCATCTTGGGTGAAAGAATTTTGTTACTTGGACCTTTTTGGAGAAGCTAACATAACTCAAATGTATGTCATATTAGAAAAAGGATTTATTTAAAAAAAACTTTTTTGTTGTTCTTGAAAAGTGGTGGGGAGAGAGAGGGTGAAAGGTAATCTCGAAACGATATTATTTTGTTCGGTTTGGGCTTTAAAGGAGAGACAGTTAAAAAATACCAGCTCTGATGTACATATACACATGCGTTCACACACACTCATACGTGAACACACACACACACACACACTCACACACACATACGCACGCATGTACACACAGGCAAACACACAATCTCACATGCACACTCACACACCCCCTCTTTCTCTGTCTAACACACATGTGCACATCGACAAACGGAGAAAACACATGCATGCACATATAGGCTCAAGAGTGAAATTGTTTACAAGTACATTCAATGTTATCTCAGCTTTTCTGATCTTATCTCAAATTCGATTACCTTATTTTGTGTGTCGCAGGAGTGGTGCCACCTCCCCCAACAATATAACCAGCCCCGGCAGCACTTACTCTTACATGAGCTCGAACACTGGAACCCCTTCAGGCGGACAAGGTGGCTACAAGATGTCCGACAAACTACAAATTGTCAAGCCTATGGAAGGTCAGTAAAGAAGAGTCTTAATGAGAATATGAGACGAGGATAGGTTTTAGAAAAATAACATTTTCTTTACGATCCAATTACTCGTGCTAAACTGTGAAAATAAAGCTAGTTTTTAGTTCTTTATGTTTTATGTCCTTGTGGTCAATAATGAAGGAACTGCTACCAGAGTCTCACTAAAGTACAAGGAAAGATGAATTATACTGGGAGGTTGTGTTTTGTTAGCGGTAATGTGCTCTTTATTGAGGCTTAATATGCATGATTCTATTGTATTTCAATCTTTTAGCCACTTTCCCACAGAATTTCTCTTTTTCTTTTGTGCACTCTCTATTCTGTCTGATTTTCTCTTTCAATTTCCCTTTCTCTCTTCTTCTCTATATTTCGGTCTCATCATCCTTCTTTCTGTCATCATTCTGTTTCTCCTAGTCTCTCTCTCTCTACCTACCCCCTTCATCAGTCTCTCTCTGCCTGCCTGCCTGCCTGCCTGCCTGCCTGCCTGCTTCCCCCCCCCTCTCTCTCTCTCTCTCTCTCTCTCTCTCTCTCACTCTCACTCTCTCTCTCTCTCTTCCCTCCCCTCTCTCTCTCACCATTTCTTTTCTCCTGCCAGGCTCTATGACACTGCGTCACTGGCAGCACCTGGCCACACCCCACCTGGGTGGTATCTTTGAGCCCCGTGAGGGGGTGCAGATGAAGGGAGAGAGGAAGCTAGAGTTACAGGAGGAGGTCTATTCCCTCAGCGACTTCGAGGAGGATGGTGAGTTTGATCCCTGGCTGTTTACACTGGTGGTCATCAGCATTGAATAAACGGGATCTTTATTGAAATGAAATGTCACAAAATTAACTTATTAATGTAGAGTGCTTGAAATAAGTTGTGGCAAAAAGTTTCCATTGTTATGTTTTTGCCCTTTTTTTTGTGTGTCCCCTGGATGGAAAGAAGTTGGAAACTGGTGAGATTGTTTTTTTAAAAGGTTAATTAGAAAATTTTAAAAATTTGGTACGACCATAACTTTGTTCACTGTATGGCATGCATCTCTTATCGTGTATTGGCATCTTTGTTGTGCATTTAATGATTTTGGACATACTTGAACTATGACATTTGTTTTATTTTCTGGCGGTTCACTCACTAAAGCTCAAGTACCTTTTAAACCCTGGCATTTCTTTTGTTAGATCCACGCGACGTCCACACTCGCAAGGAGCAGGACAGTGGTTTGGTGTACACCTTCACTGACTCCACAGTCCCCACCATGGGGCCATACCGAGGTCTGGGAAGCTTGTTTGATAACAGGTAAGGCTTGTGATCGAGTGTCGTGAGCACTGCTCTATGGTTGTGGGTAAGTTATGTGCCATTAGACTCATTAGGTCAAATGAAAGGTGTCGTCTTGGGGTTTTTTTGTTTTGTTTTTCAGTTTCAGTGTGCAAGAGTGCAATTCAGAATTCTTCTTTTTCTTAATTATTAAACATTTTCCCCCCGCATATTTGTTGCTTTCTTATCCCTCTTTTGATTCATTGCTAAATGCAGTGATCTCCACTTAAAAAACACTCTACACAAAAACCTGATCTTCTTTTTCCACATAAAGGAATTTTTCTCTGTAATTTGCATGCCTAAAAACCTGTTCTTAGAAATAGAAACTCTCCTTAAAACTGGGTTTGAGTAAGGGCAGTAAACTTTTAAAAACATCTTGCTGGTGTGGTTTTTGCCTCCGACCACAATTAATAAAATCAATGAGTTTGTTTGTTGGTGAACTTCTTTTATATTTGGTCGCATTAGTGAGAGCTAAGCTAGGTTTAGTTTTGTCTCAAATAAATAAATTTGAAATTTGTATTTCAATCCCAATAAACAAACTTGAAACTCTCCTTCCCAGCCGAGCATCCTCTACAACCAGTCTGATCAATGCGTCCTTCACCACGGACGAGTTGCCCGTTCAGGCCTCCACGCCAAAGCCTGTATACAAAGAACAGAACAATCAGCAGCAACAGCACCAACAGGCCTCGGTGCAGACCGTCAACTCTCAAGGCACATCCATGTCTCTGGGTCTGGCTTCTCTGCTGCAAGGCCGCGAGAACACAGGAGTGGGCCGAGCTATCCTACGAGCCACGTCTGCCGGCCAGAAGGCTGCAGTTGCGATGGAAATGTCTGCCTCACCCGTGATTGCTACGCAGTCTGTCGCCTCAGGGTCTGTTCGCAACCAGTCAGGGTTTTTAATGTCTCAGTCGCTGAGCAATCTGTCGTCCTCTGCACCATCGTCAAAATCGCGAAACCTGCCAGGGTCAAAATCTTTTGAGCAGGTGCTGCAGGAGCCCCAGGAAAAGGTGAAGGTCACTGTGGCTGTCGGTGAGGAGTCAAAACAGGCCAGCATGTTCACCCCAGGTATGACTGGACAAGGATTCTTACAGCAGCTGAAGAACAAAGGCTACTCCCTCTATGGCCTGTGGGGGGGTGGGGGGAAGGGGGAAGGAGCTTCCTCAGACCCCGCTGCAGAGGGGGCTAGTGGTGTGGACAGTAAAGGCTTGGCAGCAGTGGAAGGCAACCCAGCGGTAACAAAACCTTCAGCAGAGTCCGTATTTGCTAATGGCTCAGGAGGTGGAGGCGTGGGAGTCCTTGGTGCTCTGACAAATTTCCGTCGTAACGGCATCTTTTGATGGATTTCAGCCCTTCCCCCCTTCATTCTCTTCCCAGACTGCGCCCTGCGGTTCTACACACATATAAATAGTTTTCTTAAACGGTGCCTATTTGTGATACTTTTTGCTGAGACTTAGTGTATATAAAAGAAATTGTCTATACATATATATATATATGCAAGAAGCAAAGAGTCATGACTAGCTTTGAAAGGCCAAAGACTTGACTAGTGTTTTGGTTGTATGGCTGTGTGTGTACAGTATAGTGGTAGTGTGTGGTACAAGTGATTTTGTCCCTAGCTTTAGTTCAGTGGTTTGTTTGACACTTGGACATGTATGGTCACAGCTTGACAGCTCAAATCAAGAAACTCGTATGTCACGTAATTGTGTCTTTCTTGGGAGAGTTGGAAAAAAAAAAAAGACTGGTTGTCATTTGTGTCCTTTCTTTTGAAGTCGCTGTCTTTTTTTTTCTATGGAGAGGATTTCTCAAAGGAAAAGATCGGGATTGTATAACATTAAAATGATTGATCTTATTCAGAATGTGAATTATGAGTTTATTGAGCTGCATTGTCAAGGTTTTTTTTTTTCTTTGAAGAAAGCTTTGTTTCCATGACATATTTTTGGTTTGTGAATTGTACCTCAGTGTGGTCATACAAACTCTTTTAGGAATTGAAGACTTCAAAGACACAAGTGAAAACCTGCGAGGTGAAATGATGTCTGAGGCCTGTACTTGTGTCAAAGTCGACTTTGGTTTGTGTTCAAAACATGATCAGTGTGTGTACATAATGTGATACATGCCTGTTTTAATTTATTTCAGGACTACCGGTATATTCAATGACAGCTGTCTTGCCCATTCGTGGCTGACCAATCATAATGGTTTTCTTGTTCAGTCCTTTTTTCGTAGAGATATATGGCAAGCATTTTTTGTACAGTTTCTCTGTTGTTTTTAGTCTCGGGTGTACAAATCTTGGGAGATTCATTCTCAGATACCTAGGTCTCTCCCTTCTGTTTGAGAATAAAGTTTTTGAACATTTTCCCTGTGTGTTTCCAGTTCAGGGGATAAGTGTATAGTATAGTCTCTGGGAGATCCTACTTCTTTTTCTGCTTTGTCTTTCTGTCTTGTCTTTCCTGAGCATGAAATTACCATTTTTGTGTCCATATTCTTCTCTTTATTCAAAACTAAACAAAGCTAAATGTATGACTGTGTTCCTGTCAGTTGCGATGATCGTATGAAATGTTGAGGGGAAGACTTCTGTGGGGGGACAAACCTGACATTCTGGTGCTAATGTTTGTACCCACAAGCGGTTTCTGGTTTTTTCTGTTTGACTACTCTCCAAACTACTAAAGTTGGAGAGGTTCAAAGAGCATCAGGTTTAGCTTCAACACTGGGATATCAGTGTGTTCCTATCTTTGGATACAGACTTACGACGTTGTCAGGGATGATGCAGTTTGTCGGGGGATTAAACTGAAAGATTCTGACGGCAATTGGGCTGTGATCAAGAGAGGTTCTGTCATGAAGATAGGACAGAAAGTGGGAGAAAATTTCTGTGGAGACCGGACAGAATACGAACATTTTAAAAATGTGTGGTCTTTCAGTACCAAGGATTGAGAACAAAGGTAGACATAGCTTATCACACAAAAGTTCCAACACTAGGTCTCTGTTTCTTGTCTTCCAGTTTCAGCTACTGTAACTTTCTGTAACTTGTGTAAAGCTAGACTCAAGCTGTATTTATGTACCCGTCTTTAAATGTACACACGCTTATTCCCATAACCGAGAAACCTCAGGAGCTGATAGTATAATCTCTGCTAAATTCATTGGACAGGGCTCTCATTATGCATTATGATATTCATGTTATCTTTTAACCAAGAGCATGCCAATCAAGTTTGTTCAGCATCTGGTCTCGGATTTAATCTCACTGTGTGTATGTAGATAAACATTGTCAGAACGTTCAGGTATGTCAGACCCTTGTGCGTTTTGTTGAACATCTCTTGATAATTTATGCATGCGTAGTCGGTAATATTTTCAATTGACTCGTATTCCCTCTAGAAATCAAAATTAGAATTGTGAATTACTGAATCCCATGTGGACGTACATTGTCATTGCTGGGTGTCCTTGATCATAACAGCAGTTAGGAGAAGAGAGTTGAGCTTTATTTCATGTTCACCAGTCACAAGAAGAACAGCTCTGGTTTTGTCTTGTCTTTCCATCCAGTACTTCAGGATATTGTAAGAATAACTATTTTTAGTGATTTTTTACAAGCATCATACTAAATCACAGGAAACAAAAAAGAGGTCCTGAAGTTCGATTACACCTTAGAATAAGGACTAGGAATTTTCCCAGCTTGGTTAAACATCTAATTTTAGTCTTTCATCGTGAATTACAGGTGCATCAGGGGACACAGTATTGTCCGTCTTCACATGGACTCTGCACATGACATTTTGAGAAATAATTTGGTTGTAGCTGACTGGTAAAGACCAAATGGTAAAAAAGATTTAATAGACAAAGACTGAAAAGACAAAGGAGTCAAAAGCAAAAGCAGACTGCACTCATGGGTACCGGGAATCTGTATTGTGACAAGTGTCTTTCTTTTCAGAAATCAGGAGATCTGTTCTCTTTGACTTAAAGTTATGTTGTCATGATGCCTGCAATCGACTAGGCATCTTCCATCTGGCAAATGTCAAAAACATTGGAATCCATAGACAAATTTATAGTTATATATTACAGAAATTTTCCTTGTGTACTGGAATGTATTATCCCTTAAACCGCATAAAGCAGTTATCATCAATCGTCGAGTTCAGTAAACATTTCCTGGAATCAAACGTTTTTGTCATGAAAGCAGTTTTTGTATCACTTTTCTACTTTTCCAAAGTTTCCGTTTTTCTGACTTTCTTCTCCCATTAGTTGCTTTGTGATCTGACTTGTACAAATTCAGCATTTGTTACAGGTGGCGATGACATCATGTTACTTTGTTTTCTTGAACACAATTGTATATAAAAAACGTATCGACTAGCGACAGTTTGACGAAATAAATGATGGCATTGACAAAATTGTTGATGATGATTGCAATATTGAGTTGTTTTATTAAGGTTTTTATTCATGTTGTACTTTCTGCTTTTAGTTCTCTCCGAGACAACTCTCAACTTTATCATTTTAGATCTCAGTGCAGTCCGGTTAATACCGTCTCATGCCAAGTAGGGCTATGTGTGTTTTTGTCCAGCATCTTGTTTATCTCCGGTCTCTTCAACTTCAACCTTTGTCAATACTGGATTTTAAAAAAATATTGTTTTTTTTTCTGTTGTTATTTTTACTTTTGTTTCCCCTCTCATCTGCTAATTCGTGTTTTAAAATCTTTTAGGTATGTACATGTTTACCTAATAACTTTTCCTCCTCCCTTAATCTTATTTTTGCCTTTTTCTCCGCCTTCATTGTTTCCACGTGTCGTTTATGTATGTTTTTCTTCTCCTTTTTTCTTCTTGTTCTTGTATTTATACTATAGGAACGTGCAGAGTACAGTTTGACCATAGTCTTTCATTGTGTAAATGGAGAGATTTCCTGTTGCTAGAATGTATTGTGTCCTTTTTTTGGTGCAGCACCAGTCTTGTTTTCTCTATTTTCCTTCTACAATATTCCTGGTTTTGCTTATGCTCTGTTAACATTTTAGAAATTGAGAGGGGAGAGTGGATAGAGCTATACAATGCTCCTGTTCCTACTCTTTGTTCCTACGGTTTTTGTTAGAGGATTAAAAATTTGGTCTTGTTTTTGTCTTTGCTGTTGTTTAGAAGAAGGAGTTTAGAAACATCAGAGATCTGCAGAGATGCAGAGTGGAATATCAGTGATCTGTAGATATGGTTGACAAGGATGCACAAATAAAGTCCCAAATTAATGTTTAAGAACTTTGCTTTCTATCACATTTGTTTTCAACCAGCTCAGTATTTGTGTTGCATAATTTGAGTTGAAGACATAGACGGGTAAGTGGCAGAAGAGATGTTCTAGTATGTTTGAGAGTGGCAAAGGTCTTGGAGCAGTGTTCACTGAGACTCAAGGAGGAGGCACAAGTAAATGTACATCTAGTTTTTGATATTTGAGAAAATACTGTATAGAGTTTTGCTAAATGTGCTATGCAACTTTTCAATTTTAGATGATGTGATGAATTCGGAATTTGTATTTGTTCGCAAGACTACAGAGATTTGAGTGCTTGACTCTGGTAAAAAGATTCTTGTTTGAATTTTGGATTGATTTACATTGTTTGAAAGAGTCTATTCCTGCTGTATATTTTCTCTCTAGTGATATCCTTGGCAGAGTTTCCTTGTGTAGTGTTTACTCTGAATCCCGCTTGCTATCTGTTGCCCTTTTCCCAATCTTTCGAAGAAGTAAAGAATTATCTCTTTCAGCAAGTGCCTGAAATAGTAGATAGCGTACTATATCAATGAAAAAGTTCCAGCCAAAGTTCTGAAACTATCATGGAGTCCTTTTCGAGTTTAAATTCAAGTTTCTGGTAGTTTGTCTATAAGTTTTTCTCCTTTTTTTGAGGACAATGAGGCCTAAAGCAAAGGTCTGCTTTCGATGTTTTGAGCTGTCTCTTTTTGTCTCTTTCAAAACAAAAGTGTTATATGCTCAACTCCTTTAGACAATAACTTTCTCACCAGTTTCTAGGTTGTTTTGTATTCTGTACTGAAAAAATATTTCTGTTTATCATCGTTAGTCAGTGACAGTCTATCCAAGTGCACCACTAGTCTTTTAAGTTGACTACTTCAACAGTAACATAGTACTTTATACATTTTCTGAGATTTTGTATAAGTCATTTTTAGGGAACTCAGTAGGCTACTCAAAGTACCTGACTTTGGAAGGTTGCAAAGGAGAGAAGCTCTTTTAAAAGGTGCTATTTAGAAGATATGCAAAATTTGGGTTTTAAAAGTTTTTGTAGTGTAAATATACCATCAGTTGCTTTATTCTAGTTCTAGCGTGAGAGCTCCATTTAAAATAAAATACAAATGCCATTGAAACGTCAATAAAAGTTTTCATTGTTTCTCTCATTTTGCATTGGCTTGATCACATAATAATATCAATTTGTGGTTGTTTCAATACCACAGAAGTCAAATGAAATTCAGTGGCAGTTTTACACCAAAAAAATGGCACCAAAACTTGCATAGTTGATATTTTAAAAGATTTTTGGGGGTAAATTATTATTTATATCTCCTGAGTGCCATGTTTTAATTTGTTAACTGCATTTTTTGTCTGCCGTATTCTCTGTTTTTTTGTTTATTTAGATTTCTTTTGTTGTCCTTCAACCCTTTATCCCAACAAATATTAAGTCGTTTTAGTTCAGTTTCGACAGACAGTTGCAGCCCATAGTGTTGGCAGAGTTGGTTTCATCCTACATCTTTCCAGTTACGCCCACTGTTTAAGTTTTTACCCTTGTTGCTTTTGTTTCACCATTTTTATAGTTTTCTTCTGGGTCACAGACTTAGATGATGTTTTGTTAGTTTACAGAAGCGTGCCAAAATCTTGAGTCTCTGATATGTGATTGTCATTTAGCAAACAGTACATGTACTTGATTTAGCAGGAGAGACCAAATTCCTCAAAGTGCCCATTTGTATACGTTATTCATATCACTTAGTTTTAGCCGTGTCTTTTACTTTGATACCTTTCATGTGCTCCCATTGTGACTTGAGTATGTGAATGATCACATAGATCATAGTTCTATGGAGGAGGTCAATGGAAGACAGAAAGATTTGTTCATAATGATAGTTACTTTACTAAAATCGCTTTTTTTTTCTCAGTGTTCTTGAGAAATGCATGTTGGATAGAATAAAGTTTGACCAGTTTATGTTTTAGTTTTTTTTTAAGGTTTAAATTTTACTGTGTTTTGAATCTGTAGAAAGAAGTGCAACTGACAGTCCCAATGAAGTGAATACGGTAGAAAGAAATTGTGAATACTGAGGTAAGGAGTATTGGCTGTGTTTTCATGAGAACTTTGTGCCTTGTAAAGAAGGAGAAAATGTTATGTGGATTGTCAATGTATCATAATTGTTAAATAGAATATTATGTTTCCTGGACTGTCTCTGTCCATTTTCAAATCTACAGACCAAAATCCAGTTTAGGCTGACTCAGCCAGCCATCCTAGGCCATGACCCATAGCTTTATTTTTGGGGTGGGGGTTCTTTTTTATAATTATCTCTTTTTATGTTCGCTTAGAGGAGCGGAGCGAAGTCTTATTGCTCTTAGTATCTTAGACATTAAAAGATCGTTAGGCGGTCGGACTTTGCCTCGGACTAAAGGATTCTGGGTTGCACATGTGTAAGAGAGGTTTTGAACAAATTCAGTTATAATCAAAAGTTAAAACCTGTTGTTTTAACCATTATCTGCAACGTCTCAAAGAACAAGAAGACTAATGACGCCTGTGTATTAGCCCTGGCCGCTTAAAGGAGCGTGTCACTGTAGGTGAATGAAAGGCTCTCTCGGTACAATTCACAGCGTGACTTCAGAGCTTGGTGTGCACTGTGGAGAGCATACGCCACCCCAACAACCCTGTATAAAATTGCTTAGACTATGCCATTGCAACATGTTAGTTTCAATTAGTTCCAGTGCCAAGTTCTCTTCTCCCCCATTAAGTCTATCCATCCCCCCTGCCCTTCCACCCCCATCCCTTCTTCCTTACCCCTCTCCCTGCCTCCCCCCCCCCCCCCTCCATATTCCCCATCCAAATCCCTCCGCCTAATTTCTTCATTTTCCTCTCTAGACAACACCCCCTATCCACGTCCCCACTCCCTCCCCAACCCCCTAAGCTGTTGTGAGAGAAAATCTATTCCAATATCCAAGTCGTTGTAGTTTGGACTGGAGTCTACTTAACCTGCCAACTTTTTGCACCCTTTTCCAACTAGCTAAGCGTCCAGGTATACATCATCTTACCAGTTTACTCCATTTTCCTCTAATGTGCATGTTTTGCTATTGTGTGAAGCAATTGTCATTCTTGATAGGTTTCATTTTTACTACGAGCTTCTATTGTGATGAAATTAAAAAAAGACATGATCTTCAAACGAACAGCTTTTGTACTTTGTTGTTTTGTTCAACTTGTATTTTCATATACAATGTATATGTATGTGGGTGGTTGGCGGGTGCTTTGTGTGGTTTGCTTCTTCTTTCCTATCGTCCTTATCTCCCCTTCTTCTTTTTTTATGTTTGTTACTCTCTTGTAACAACTCTAATTTTCTGGCGCTCATATGAGCTTAGCGAGCGCCATACACGGTAAAACTCTACTAAAAATATATCATGGTATATATATATATACACACATGGGTACGTGCATGCGTTATCTATGTACATTAGATGTCTTCTTTACCCCTTGTTTTTGTTTTCGTCTATCTAATGGGAGTGCGTGTGGTTGGAGGGCGCTACTGGTACTGGTAGGTCTTATACTTCTTTACTCCCCATAAGACTTTTTTACTCCCCCCCCCCCAAACCCCCATTGCGTTTTTCTGTCTTACTTTTTCCCAGCACTAAATGACCATTAATGTGTTAATGTGTTTTGTGTTTCACTACGTACGCATACACACACACGCACACGCACACGCGCGTCGCGCTCACGCACGCACGCACACACACACACACACACGCACTCATATACGCACGCACATGTGCACACCCATACACACACACTCACACACACACACACAAACACACACACACACACACACACACGTTAACAAACCCTGATATGCCACTGTATGATGCCTGTTTTGAAATGCTCTATTTGTGAGGCATCGTGGTGGAATCAGGCTCTCGTCAAAATAATCGAAGTGAAGAAAGTAGCATTTTTCTGCAGGTTTGTGAATTTTAATCAAATTTTTGTTTTTTGGCACACCTTTCATGCCCATTAAAGAACTCATTTCTGTGTGGATTTTTCTGAAAAGCTTTGATTAAAGGCATAAAAAACGTAAATCTTTAGTTACCACGGACTCTTAAGCTAAGGAAATAACTAATCTTTGGCGGCCATTTTCTCACTAATTTTACCTCTGAAAACAGGTGACCCCCACCTCCTTCTTTTGCAAATATATCGACTTGTATTCAAGATAAATTGATATTTCTTGCATCCAAATAAAGACAATTGAACAAGCTTTAAGATGATATCAATAACTCTACATGTCCAAAAATTGACGAGAGCCTGATTCCACCACGCTGCCTCACATTTATATTTTGTTCGTTACCTTTGCGGGTTATTGGAGGGCGCCACTAACAGACTTTACTTCTCTTCTTTACTCCTTTTCTATTGGGTTTTTGTTGTTGTCTGTCTTGCTTTTTCTCTAGTAAAGGCTGTTTTTTGTCGATTTACTTCTCATCGCTTTAATACTGACCTCACAATAATGTTACATACTGTAGTCTCCGCCTAAGATCCCACCACTTACGACCCCGGTTCGCTTAAGATCACGCCGTTTTCAGAAAACACTATTTTGTACAATACAAAAATAACCCATAAGGTTCCGCTCTGCTTCATTATGAAGGTCTACATTCGGCTAAGGTCCCGCATTTGAGATAATAATTTACGGAAAAAAAAAAACCCGGCGGGCAAAGCCGATCAACCAAGAGTGAAAAGTTGAGATCATTGAACTGCCTGTCGCGCCAAAGATCAGTCACTCTCGTGAATGTGATCGCATAATACTTACTTTACTTTACTTTGTCCGTCCTCTTGTACCTCTAGGGCGTCGAGGGGAGAAAGAGCTTTCGGTCTCTAGCAAGTTTGATGGCCTTGCTGTGTGGGATATTGTTCTCAGGGTATCCTTCACACCCTGGATCCAGGTCTTTCTTGGTCTTCCTCTTGCTTTGTACCCTGACACTTTCCTGTAGTAGGCTTTACTGGCAAGCTGGTTAGGTGCCATACGTGTGAGATGTCCAGACCACCTGATTGCTTGCCTTCGGATGGAGTGGAGGACATGTGTTGTTTCCACCATTTCTCTAATCTTGTTGTTTCTGACGATGTCCCGTCTGGTTTTGTTGACGGCTCTCCTGAGACATCTCATCTCGCACATGGTGATCTTACGTTCCAGACTTTTGGACTGGGTCCATATCTGGTACTGGTGGGTCAAGGTGGGGATGAAGATAGAGTTAATGAGCTTGGTTTTGGTCTCAATGGGGAAGTTAGGATGTTTGGGGAGTGGGGCAAGCTGGTAGCTGACGTTGTTAGCCTTTTGTACTCTCGTCTCAATTTCTCGGTTGAGACGTTCGTCTTCCGAAAAGATGCTACCAAGATACTTGAACTCGCTGACCTGTTTCTGCGGATTTCCGTCGATGGTGATGTTAAGGTTGCCAGGTGTTCTGCTGACTTTCATCGTCTCTGTTTTGCTTTTACTGATCTTCATGTTGAGCTTTTCACATTGTGTATTCAGCCTGTCTTTGTGCTCTTGAAGTTGCTCTTCTTTTTCATGTGTATGGCTTTGATCGTCCGCAAACAGCATCCCATTCAGGTCTACCGGGTTGGGGTTTGCTTCTTTTGTAATTGTGTTCATGTATATTATAAACAGTAGCGGTAATAACACACCCCCTTGTCTCACTCCAGATGACACGTCGAACCAGTCAGTGATTCCGTTTTGGGTGCGGACTGTGCTCATACTGTTGGTATAGATGGCTCTGATGTTGTCCAACAGTTGTCCCCCTAATGCTGTACTTTTCAAGTGTTTGCCACAATTTGTTTCTATCTACTCTATCAAACTTTTCCCCCCTTGTCTATAAATTCTTGATTGATCGCATAATAAGGGTTGTAAAACTCGATGAAAAGAAACAATGTTGGCCCCAGACGGGATCACATCGATGTGATAACTGAACGATGTATTGTTTTCCGCAAACATAGTACTCGCGTCTTAGCTCTCCAACTTAACTTCTAAAATTACATCACACGCTGGGTAGGTACAGAGTTGAGCTGGGCGCGGAATCAAGTCCGGAAACGATTCCCACGATTAATGCTGCGGAAGAAAAGTTCCATTTCCTTTTTTGGTAAACCAACGGTTACCAGTTATTTTATTCATTAAAATCTTCTGTTTTTGGAATTTTTTTTAAAAGAAAAATAAAAGTTGATGCTTCGTAGTGTTCCGAAATCAAGGTTATTATAAATCATGAAGATGCTCGGAGCCAACCAGGTAACCACTGCAAGAAATCACATCATTAGAAAGTAAGCAATCGGGTTCGGAGTCGATTCCTACGATTCCTATCTTTCAATAATCGGGAACCTAGCCGCCCAGTGCTAGATCTAGTAGGTGGGGCGAACAAGTACAAGTTCGCTTCAAGGTGGGATCACTTCGAGCGTTGATCTTGAGACTCACGATAGGATACTAAGTGAAAATGGCATGTCTCGTGCCACTGTGATTGGTCATCAAGGTTGAACCCTCTTTGCTCTCCAAATGTCATAAACCCACCTGGGGGCACACCAGTTCTACACTTGAATACACAGTTAATAGAATTCGGTGGCTAAGCAGTATCCCGACACCACGTCGCCTGGTACAACAACCAACAACAACAACAACAAAAAACCCACCAAAACAACCCAGTTGGAGTAGAGTCAGAAAAACAAAAGCATCCAACAAGGAGAAAAAGGTAGTGTCTACGTTCTCTAACGTTAGAGAATGTATACAAGTAAGCTGTCTAACGCTCTCTAATGTTCAGTGCTCCAAGCGTGGCATCGAATCCTGGTCCCGGAAGGTTTTTTTTTTTCTTCTCCTCCTCCCGACTGACCAACAATTTGCCCGCGGACCCCCAACCAGGGCGAATAATAATTGGCAGGGGTCTATAGGGGCCTCGGGAGCCCCCCGGGAGCTGAATAAAATTTACAATGGAAGAGCTAAAATTTGGCTTCTCTGAGCCTAAAATAATCTTTAAAAAAATGAGACTGACAGACCAAGTAAAGCCGCTATTGAACTTTAACCAGGCCTAAATTGGTAAAAAGAAAAGTAGGCTACTTTGTAGGTAAAAGCTCCTCTTGGGGACAAAACCAGAATGTGCATGCTTCATCAGTACATAAAAAATACAAAGCAACAAATTATAATTATGGAAAAAAATTGTTGGTCAGTAGGGAGGAGGAGAAGAAAAGAAGAAAAAAAACAAACGAAAAAAAACAAACTTTGCGGGACCGGGATTAGTTCCCGCGCTCATAAAATAATTGAAGAACTTCAAACGCAGCGTCACGCTTTCCATTCGGCCATAGAACTTTCAACAGCGAGGAGATTAAGCTTCATATATATACAGCACTGTTTCAGGAAAGGCAACGCGATATAATATATAGGTCAAGATGTAGATCTAGATCTAGTTTTTTTTTTTTTACAACCAAGAAAGTGAGTAAAGAGGCGGCGGGCATCGGACCAGCAGGATGAGGGTCTGGAGGAAACTAAAAAATGGCGGAAAATTGGAAGCACTGAACATTAGGCCTAGAGAATGTAGTCAGCTTATTCGTTCTCTAACGGTACCGATAGTAGACACTTCCGGGGAAAAAGTCAAAGAAGAATGGGGGCTCTTTGGAAATTGCCTTCCCGTTTGTTTACATGAGAAACAGAAGTGATGGCTAAGGACAAAAATGGCCATGCAGGCTAAGTGAACCCTGCCACATTAGCCAGTAATATTTTTCTGCCTTTTTTGTATTAAACATTTATTTTGGCCAGATTGAACTTTGGTGGACCCACCGTGTTTACTTGTGTATTAATTAATGCGCACTAGCCATAACAGTGAGGGTTGGGGGGGGGGGGCTGCTGAAACCCCCACAATCAGGGGGGCAACCCCCCCCCCCCGCCCAAAAAAAGCAAAAAAAACCCCCACAATCTTCACGTTTACATGGCAAATTATCTTTTTTAAAAATGGCAATTTCCAAAGAGCGCAGAAGAATGTCCGCGGTTTTTTTTCCCTTTCTAAGAGCACGCGCAGATTTATAAATAAACATTTTATTTTTAGCTTTCTGGTCGCCAGGAAAGGAAAGTCGCGAAAAGGAAAATCCAGGATTCACTTCCGGTTGCACTGATCCCTCAAAAGAAACTAACTGTCGAAACTGGTCAGATCATAATGATTGTGGTACTGTGCTCAGTCCAAACCTGGTAGATCTATCTTTTAAGTGAATAAAAAACAACAACAACAACACAGCATTCAAAACAATCTTAATTTTGTAATTATTTTGTTTCTGAAGTTTCTATCAATGTGTGAAGATTGTGTGCACTGGTCAACCAGCATAATTTTCCGACCAGACTCGGATTCCGTCATGCAATCTATAGACTGCACACTTCAATTTCGCTCTTGAAAATATATAGATTCTATATTCTAGATCTAGCATTAGCAAAGCTTTCATAAGAGTAAACAGACAAGTGTATGGTTGTATTAGAGTTATTATTTGTTTTCTTTTTTTCGACAGTCGATTGCTTGAGTAGCTCTTTTCTTATTAATTGTTATGATGCTTGGTGTGTGCTAGTATCGGTATTTAGTTTCTAGTTTCCCGTAGAACAAGAAAGAGAAAAAGAACTCCAAAGCCAACCACAACATTGACGGATGTTGAATGTTCCTCCTGATGCTACTTGTTGTGGTCGGAAACCGGGCTCTGTTCTGTTGATATGGAATTACGAGACTGAGGTAGGTACAGATAGACATTTATTTCTATTTGATCTGATTAACTGTCATTCCATTCAAAAATGGTACGTGATTCAAAGTATAGTCACAGCAGTGGAAGAACTGAAAAAAAAATTTGGGAACCGAGATCGAGCTGTGCTTGCCGTGGCCGTGATGACTCACACTCTTGTCTCTTGTCTCGAGAGTCAAATTTACAGCTTACCTGTGCCTTTGCAGGCATTCCTTTGACCTTCTGATACTACTTTTGGCTTAAAGAGATCTTATTGATTGTTAGATAAACGTTCTGACTGATCTTTAAATTTAGATCTCGTTGTTGTTGGAACTTGTTACACTTGTAAAATAAAATGATTAATTTCAGTCGTCATGGCAGTTAGTTTTAGTGAGTCATGTCATGTCCAGGCTCTGTGTTACTCTAATTTATGTTCTGATCCATTGCTGTGGTCCATTACCATTGCCATTATTATATATAGATCTAGATCTACTCTCCGTTTCAGGCTTGTTACATGATACTGTCAATTCAGTGGGCCTAATTCACTGAAATTGAACTAGAATCTAGAAGTCTACATTTAGGAGGTTACTGGGCACTGCTGTCCTTAGTTTTTGGTTCCTTAGAATAAGAAGTTAAGACTGTGTCATGTAACCAGTGTGTAGGCCTAGATCTAGACCATTTTTTGGGAGGTGTGAATGAATAGCTCTGGTAAAAGAAGACTTTCCTGTCCAAGTCCAATGCATGGCAAAATGCCAATCAATCAGCTTGAATTACAGTGCAGTTGAATCCAAGTAATTTGGCCTCTGATTCTGAAGACACACGTTGACACCTTTTTGTAGTGTAACAAGATATATATATATATGTGAGGCACAGTGGTAAAATCAGGTGCTCGGCAAAATAATGGTGAAATAAAAGGCCACCTCTATTCTCACCCGGAGTGAGAATAGTGCAGGCGAGTCTTGAGGCTATTCTCACCCGGTGCGCGTTCACCAAATTTTGCGTTCACCCTAAACCACAGAATTCTACACTGTGATAACAGAAAAATTGTAGAATTCTGAGCCGTGAACAAACGTTCCATTACAACTGTAGCCTACTAAAAGCCTACAATTTTGTCTGTGGGCAGTGGAGAGAGAGAGAGAAAGAGAGAGAGGAGTAGCGCGATAATTTCCGGGCAAAACAAAATGGCGACCCGCGTAGTTCGGCTCGATTCGAAAAGTTAAATAGCCGTAGCATCTTTGTAGACAACCAAATTAATTTACTTTTGTGTTTTAACATCATTTTTTAACTTTGTTTTGGTCAATTTGATCTTCCACACCGATAGACAGTATTCAGAAAGAGACAGAGAGAGAGAGAAGAGGGGAAGAGTTGATCTTGCGAGAACTTCCGGGCGGGTGAGAATAGCCACTTTGAAATAAAAAGACTGACTTTTCCGCTGGTTTGGCAATTTGTATTGAAATTTTGTTTTTTGACACCGTGCCTTGTATATATCCATGACTCATTATGTCAGTGTGAAAATTATTTTGAAAAACATTGATTAAAGGCACAAAAATGTAAATTGTCAGTTTCCACCGACTCAGAGCCCTTGTATATATATCAAACTTTGGCGGCCATTTTCTAGTCTAATTTTTAACCTAGAGCTGATGAATACAGGCGACCCCCACCTCTTTCAATCACGTAATATCTTGACATCATGTACTCAAGATAAGTGAATTCTAAAGGCAAATGAACAAGCTTTAAGGGGATGCCAACAACCCTACAGGCCCAAAGATTGACAAGTGCCTGATTCCACCGTGCCATGACACATGATTTTGTTAACTTCACCATCTTCATACTACTGCTGGTATACATAAATCTTTTATGAAAATTATTGGCCTCCTAAAATTAAAAAATCTATTTGTCTCAATTTTGTTGTTGTTGACAGAATAGAAATTTGAGTGCTGTGTATAAATAAGCCTACTAAGTCTATTAATTTAATAATTTTTACACTTTACACATGATCTTGAAAAAAGTTTGCTTCTCGGACTTCTTGTCTTAAACTCTTGCTTGCTAAATTTCTTCTCTCGAGCTATTTTCCATAAAAGTATAGTTACAGTGATAGGCACTGGGCCACTTAAGGGACGATACTATATTGCTGACTGATCCAGAAAAACTAATTTGCTTACTTGCTGGAAATTGTTTCTTTTTAAAGTTAAATGGAGATATTAGAGTCTTGTAGTGACTGAAGTTATCATCCAATACAAATTCTACAGAATCAGAGAGACATCCTGTAGCCCAAAAATCTTTGATTTTGAGAAAACTGTCGAGACCAAATGATATAATTTAAGTAAGAATTATATTTAATTTTTAACACGTTGAGAAAATGAATTGCCAGTCTCCTTAAATTCGTTATGATTTGATCGATGATCAATGAGGGCAGCCATGTTTCTTTTGGAGGGTGGGGTGTATAAAAATTATTATGGCACAATTTGATGGAATCCTCGGATCCTCCACACTCAAAATCATAGCCAACAGCCAGTAATCAGGCTATTGTACGTGTCATATTACACTAGGCTAATGATTAATGGTCAGATCTTTTGTTTGCATGCAGTGCGAAGGCCTTTAAAATGGACCTAGGTCAGATTTGATGGAACAAAGAAAAATGTTTTTTTTTAATGCAGTATGCTTTGGTCAAGAAACTGCAGAGAAATTCACAGAAAGAAGGAGATTTTAAATCTGATTGCTGAAAAAGCCTATGGGGGAAATTCTCATTCATTAATGTAACTTAAGTAGGTGGACGAGACAAAAATGCAGTTCTAAGGACACTTTATTCGACACATTTTTAGATCTTTAACATGTTTACACTGTCGAATAATTGTTCTTATAAAGCAAAAAGAAAGTTCAAGGAACTTACATTTTGAAAACTTGAGCAAATGATTGACGAGGATAGACCAAATTAATAGAGGGATTTTTAAAGAGCATCTGAGCAGAGAAATGAGGTGTGAACCATGACTATGTGTATGTTTCAGATGGGGCGCTTTAAGAGGAAGTTGTTACCTTTGTCTTGTGTATATATATTATATTCTGGTGGTTTTTGAAATTTGAAAATATTTATTTTCAAACCATGTTTTTATTGGAATTTATAACTAAATTGGTCTAAATTGTGTTTAATGTTGATCCGAAATTATTTTTGATTAGGCTAGATGAGTCTCCAACATTTACCTTTATTCACACACATTGTCTTTTTGTACTCTCTGTTACTGTCCATAATCCCCTAGTTATCCCCTGAGAAATATGTTAGGAATGATCCAGATGTGTAATTTTCTTAGTTTTATTGAAACGAGAAACTTGTATCTCTTTTTTTCCTTTTCATGACAGTGGTTTACATGGCCTTTCATAGTGGGCCAATTCAAGACTACCACTTTAAATGATTTGATCTAAATAAAAGATTACTTGACACTTCACAAATTGTCCATTTTCTCTTGCCGGAACCCCCATTTCTCAGCTTTATTGGTATCAATATGTACTACGGTACGTTTGACTTTTCATTCTTGGCTCAATTCTCTCTGTCAGAAGTCTAGCGTCTAAAACTCTTAGTATGGCATGTCAGTTCAGTTGCTCATGGTATCGCTCGATTGCTTTTAGTTGTAAAAAAAATTAACCAAACTTCTGCAAATCCATCTCAATTGAACTATGTTTATTGTTCAGAGTTTTTCTTATGCGAATACTAGGTTTAATAGGAGTGCATAGGGAAGTTGGTGATGCTGAAAACTTGGATAACAAAATTGGCTGTCGTGTACCAAGACTTAAATGGGCGTTAAGTTTTATAAAACCCATACCATACTCACAACTAATATGTAGTCCTACATGCCCCAATCTTTTAGTGACACATTTTCATATAATTTCGGAATTGGACAAAATACTTAAGAGATATAGGAGCAGATGGCCTATGGATGTGGTATGAGACCCAAAGGAGTGGATGGGGGGGGGGGGGTGCTAAAATACAGAAGAGTGGTTCTTACTGTTAATCAGAAAGATACCTCTAACTCATGAGTAACCTATGTTAATGAAGGGCGGGGTCGGAATCTAATGGCACAGCTGACGCAGAGACTGCGAATGCACCTGTCTGGTTTGTTGAATACTGTTATGAAAAGGTAGTAAACCTACAATACTTCTTTATATAAATGCTCGGTTGACAGAGAGAGAGAGAGAGAGAGAGAGAGAGAGAGAGAGAGAGAGAGAGAGAGAGAGAGAGAGAGGCGCCACTGATAGATCATACTTCTTTCCATTCCCCCCGTTTTCTGCTTTTTCCCAGCAATTTAAGTATCGTTATAGGTTCGGTGTGCTTTTTTTTTACTCAAA